CGAAAGTGACTGATTCCCCAAAGAGCCGCATAGCATTCTCCCGTCGGAGCGGCGTAGTTGCGCTTGCAGGCGGGTACTGATTTGGACGCATACTCCACCACACTCTCGAATCCGCTTGGTCCCACCTGGGCAAGGATCGCCGAAATCGCCTCTGGCTGCCAGTCGGTGATGAGAACAAAAGGTTTTTCGGGATCCGGTCTTATAAGGACCGGAGCCGAAATGAGAGCAACCTTGAGTTTGGAAAACGCTTGATCGCACTCCGGCGTCCAGATCAATGGCTGATCCTTGCGCAGGAGATTTGTGAGGGGTCCCGCAATCGTCGCGAAGCCCTTGATAAATCTTCAGTAATACGAGGCTAGGCCCAGAAAGGCGCGATAGTGGTAGGCACTGGCGCGTCCCTGACAGCTGCCACCTTTTGCGGCTCCAGTTGGAGTCCCTTGTCTATCACCACGTGCCCCAGGAAAGAAATGGTGGTGAGGAAAAACTGACACTTCTCAAGCGCCACCTTGAAACCTGCATCTCGTAACACATTCAGTGCCCATTCGATGTGCTGCACGTGTCCCTCGTAGGAACTCGAATACACTAGGATGTCGTCCATGTACACAATCACGCAGTAGTTGATGATGCTCTGTGCCAAACGAGTCTTCCGTACGAAATTCTGAAAAGCCATGTTCAGGGCCCTCTGAAAAGTTGCAGGGGCATTGCAGATACCCATCGGACATCGAATCCATTGTCACATGCCTTCGAAAAGCACAAACGCTGTTTTCGGTCAATCTTCCTCTTGGACAAGAAGATGATGGAACCCATGACGAACATCAAACTTGCTGAAAAATCGAGCACTCCCAATCGCATCCAATAACTCATCAATCCGGGGGAGGGGATACACATCTTTAATCGTGATATCATTCAGCTTTGAATAATCAATGCAAATGCGAATCCCCCAGCCTTCTTGGGTACTATCACTACAGGAAAAGACCATGGTCCTATAGCGGGTTCGATCCATCCATTAGCTTCGAACTCCTTAATCCGCTGAAAGGCGGCCGCTCGTTGAGTTGGCGAGTATCGGTAGGGAGCGCAACTAATGTGCGGATGATCTCCCGTGAGAATGGCATGTTCAATTACATTAGTTAACCCAATATCATTGTCATGCACGCTTAGCACTCTTGCATAACCATTCAATATACAGATTAACGACTTCCGAAGTTCCGCGGGAACGTGACTCGGGAGGGGGATCGTCGATTCCCCGGACATATTAAGGGGCATATCGATCCAATCAACCGGCCGTTCCTGCCGCTCATGGACACTAGAGAAAACGGAACTACTGGTGCGAACAAAAAAGACATTTGCTATCATCTTTGACTCAGGGGGGCTGATCATCTCCGTTTCTTTAGTTCCAGCGTCAGTCTCTGAAACAACCGAAGTCGGTTTCACAGTTAGCCCTGTTAGATCCGTCATTTCTTGCATTAGATTCGACACGTCACTTACCGGTGTTTCCACTTCTTGTTTAATCAAGGCGATGGTGGCTCCTGTCGTTAGTAATGATCGGGGTGGAAAAACAGAAACGTCCAAATACTGTTCCGTTTGCTAATAACGCGTTCGTAAGGAAAGAGCTCCCTCGTACAAGGTGCGAGGGGGTTCCAAATCATCAGCCAGATCGGAAACTTGTAATATGGGTTCCCCGAGGAGGGCTGAAGGACTGACCTGGGTTGTTAGAGGCGTGAATGCACTGTCTTCAGAATCCACGTGGAAGCTTCGAGCGATGTTGGGGCACACTGAAAATTCTTGGGTTTCATGTTCGAAAAGTTCAACCAGATGCTTCCATTCTTCTTCGCTAGGCATCTCTTCTTCATGTTCTTGTTCCCTGATTTCATCCCTGAGGCGCGAGGGAGAGCATTCATCGGGATCAATGTATCGGATCATCCCTATTTGGGTCGGGTTAGGGACCCGTTTCATCGTTCAGGTAGAAACTCACAAAGGAACAGTTTGAGGTTTTCCTCCAGTTTGTGTGAGCACCAATTGTTTCGAATCGAAATGCAGACGTGCGCCCACCGCCATTGCCCAAGGTAATCCCAACAACACAGAGTAGGAATGTACATCTATTACGAGTGCGTTAACAAGAACGTGTACTCGCCCGACCTTTACCGCCACGTTCTCAATAATGCCTACAATGTTCATTGCTTCCTCATCAGCAGGGACATAGTTGTCTTTGCCAGATTGAGGAAGAATGGATCCAAGTCGTCCCGTCTTTTTAACAGTCTCCAATGATATGGCCACTGCAGAAGACCCTGTGTCGATTAGGGCATTAAACAACTTACCCCAAACTTCACAGTCACATTCCGCACTTTTCCATAGTACTGACCGAGCTCGTACGAAGTGATCCTTTTCTGCTAAAGAGATGGCGGCTATGCGTGCGGCTTCAGGTTCTTTAGTGTCCGGCTCAGGGGATACCGTTTCCTCACCTTCTTCCTTCTTCTTCAACATCCGTTGTATGCGTTGATAGGTGAAACACTTTTGATTTTTCTGGCAGTGTTGTAAAAGTTTATCGTTCGTCGCTTTAGATATGGTGAGCAGATGTCCGACGGGGATAGGAACGCGGATGTCTAACTGCTTGAGCGTTCTCAGTACATCAATATCTCCTGTTTGAAGTTGCGGTCCTGGATTGGATTCGCGATCGACCCACTCGAAATCACTTAGGACCGATCGGATCACTCTGATCATGCCTGCGAGATGGAGATACTCGAGAGGATCGACCACGTCAGCAGCGTCGGGGGAAGAAACTCCCGATGTCGATGCCGTTGCCATCGAAGGGGAGGGTTGCTCTGTGGCATATGCCACGAGTTCTCTTCCTTGATCCGTATCCATCAGAGTGGTCACTCGTCCTTGATTAAGGGCAACGGGGGCCGCAGCAGGGGGAGGCTGATTATGTTGAGGCTGCGGACAGTCCCGGGCGAAATGCCCGGGCTGCTTGCAGTTAAAGCATTCGATCTTCCCTACTGGATTACCTAGATGAGGGAACTGAGGCGCGAACCCTGGAGCAGGCGGGGCAGGTAAGAGTGGAAACGATGCAGGGGCAGGCCGAGCAGGAGCTGGGTTAGGCTTAATGAGCTTGCTCATTATCTGTTCCATCCGTTCCATATGAGCGGCCTGCATTTGGATCAAGTTGCTCATCCATTCGGACTGCTTGGTAGCAGCCGTATGGATCATCTGGGCAAGGTGTAGATTGGTTACGGCCGGCGAGGGGGGTTCGGATGAAGTTCCGCTTCTAACGGCTGTGATCGATTGATTCACCGGGGGAGATGGAGGAGAAGCAGTCGGGATATCGGAAACGATCCCGCCGGGAAGATCATGGTCGGGGCGGGGATAAAACCGTTCGACTGCTTGTAGCCATGATCGCCTTTTGGCCGTTACATCCCGTATGGTATCTGTAATGTCCTCGTCTCCCTGACTGATATATTTTTTTTGTATCAGCCAAGTCTAGCTCCAACGCTTTAGTAATGATAGCCGATAACTGGGTTGTTTTCGGCGGATCCTTTTTCTGCAGTTTCCCTTTCAAGGTCGGACTTCGAAGGTGATCAATAAACAAATCTCGAGCAGATTTATCTTTCTCCCAGATTTATCCAATGTGGTTTGAAATCGATTAACGAAATCGGGTAACAGTTCCCCTGGTCCTTGGGGTCGATTTTTGAGTACATACCAGACGGCATCTTCGCTAACCGTATCGAATCGAGCCAAGAATGCACGCTTAAAAGTCTCCCAATCTACCCATGTATGCTTTCTGAACCAGTCGTGCGATGTATTGCGGAGTAGTAAGGTCAGAACGCGGGGAAGATCGGTTGTGACAGCTTCCAGCCAAGCCTCGGGATGGGTATGGTTGGGGAAGAAGGGGAAGGGGGCAGGGATGCTGACGATCACCCTACTACCGTCCACCATTGGTATTGCTAGCGCAGTCGCACTAGACTGAGACCTGGTCACGGGGCGATCTCGACGAGCTAGTGAAGGGTCTCTCCTACCTCTCGCCAGTTCGACTTACTATCATCAGAACCGATACGTGTCGGCTCCGATACCAACCTCACGGCATGTGCTGTCTTGCGTTCGGAGTGTTAGCTGTGCGGAAAAGAGGCCCAGAAAAAAAAACAAGATGGGGTGTGCCAAGGATTTTTGGAAATTGAGTGTGGGGACACAGACGGAATTGAAATCCTCCGTGTTGGTCCGATGGAGCAAGTCAATCATTTTCGCGTGTCGCGGAATGCGCGCGCGGGCAAGGCGGGAAGAGAGGGAAAGATCCAAATTCAATCCAAAAAGTATTGTCGTGCCTCCCACCGGGCTACAGCCCGTCGTTTAGAACAGAAAGGCTTGGGCACGCTTCACGTGTCCCGTTTTCGTATCAAGTCTCGTCGTCGTTCGTTGGTTAGTTCCGAGTCTGACGTGGAGGGCCTCAGTCGCATGGCTCTTTCTTTATGTTCGTCTTCACTCTGCACACGGTAGTGGAAATCCCTGGACTCGTAGCGCTCAAAACAATGACATTCGGTGCACAGAGTGCGCGGCCAGTGGGGTTCTACTACCGTCCACGGAATGACGATCAACTCGTTAAATGGCAACAATACCGAGTAAGGTGGGAAGTGCGTATCGATAATAACAAACCCGGCTTCTACGAACCCAGAACAGCGGTTGGCCGGAGGGAAGTAATACTGCCC